TTCGGTTATAAATTATTAAAAACTACCTAAAAAATTATTAATGGTTTGGACCCGTAAAATAAAAATCTTAATAATTCTATTTCACACCGACCATTTCTGTACTTTTTTACTTCGATATTTTGAAGTAAATGGCAGAAAAATAATTCAAATATTGCTTTTAGAGAAAAAAAATTAGAGTTCTAATTATGCCTGAGTATGAACAATTTTTCCACATATTTTAGGCATATTAGAAACCTCGCCCATTTATTTATAATACATAACATTATCGATAATAGTGGTAGATTTGTTAGTTACTCTAGTAGGGTGGTTGGTTAGAGGTATTCCTCCTGCTGTAATAAACAAAATAAAGTAATAATTTATTTTCATCATTATATGCTAAACAGTCCATATTAAAATCCCCTATTAAATAATTATATTTAATAGGGGATTTTAATATACGAATATTCTTCACGTAATATTTTTCAGAAAAAATATTTAATTGTAAATTTACTAAAGCCATGAGGGCTTTAAATATTATTGTTAAAGGGGCTATATGAAAAGATTGTGGCAACACCAATCATCCATATCTTCTTTGAGCATCATCTGTCTGTTTCATAAATATCCTTCGCATAACCTAAAAATTTCATTGCAATTTTTTTTTTTATATATATATATATGAATAGCAAAATATATATTAAAAAATAATCGTGAATTATATATTAAAAAATAATCGTGAATCGTTTTTTGCGCAGTTTTGTAAACACTATGATTTAGCATTTCCAGTACAAAAAAAAGTTGTAAATTCTAATTCACTTCTAAGCCTTTGGATGACCAAAGGTTTATACAAATCATCAAAGAGAAAACAAAGACTTTATGAAAAATTAAAAACATAAAACATATAAAAATGAAATAAAATACAAAAATTATAAAAACACGCTTGAAAAAACAAAGAAACATGCAAAAAAATATTATTATGCAAGGTTGTTGGAAAAAACACGCGGAAACACACAAAAGACGTGGAACGTGATTAAGCAGATAATCAGTAAAAATAAATATCCAAAAAATAATTTGGCACAAAAATTATTAGTTAACGGGAAAATGATTTATAATAAAGAAGTCATAGTTAAAAAGCTCAATAAATCTTGATATTGGCCCAACTTTAGCTGATAAAATTCCAAAAAACACCTCAAACTTTGAATCTTATATGAAATCAATCAATACGTCTATGAAAGAAGTAAAATTAAACATAAATGAGTTGCGAAATGCATTCAGCTGTCTAAAAAGTAATAAATGCGCTGGCATAGATAATATTAACGCGAATGTTGTTAAAGCAGTGTTTGATATTATTGAACCGTCACTGTTTTACATTTTTAACCTTTCACTAGAATCCGGTATTGTACCGGAGAAATTAAAAATTGCTAAGATCATACTTATTTTTAAATCTGGCGATGACACGATTATGTCTAATTATAGACCTATTTCTGTCTAACCTTCTGTCTTACTGAAAATCATAATATAACTTGTGGTGTTCCCCAGGGATCAATCCTAGGGCCGCTCTTATTGCTACTCTATATTAATGATTTATACATAGCATCCAAAGTTTTAAATGTTATTTTGTTTGCTGATGATTCGAATTTTTTTTACTCGCACAATAATATAAAAGAACTGTTTAGAATACCTAACGAAGAATTATTAAAAATAAATGACTGGATTACAAATAATAAACTTTCATTAAATGGTGAGAAAACTAAATTTATCTTGTTCCACAAACCTCGTAGGGGAGATAACCTTTCTCTAAAATTACCCAATCTCTTTATGAATAAAACAATTATTAAAAGAGAGTCAACTGTTAACTTTCTAGGAGTGATTATAGATGAAAATTTATCATGGAAATATTATATTAAATCTATTGAAAACAAAATCTCCAAAAATATTTAAATGTTATATAAAATTAAACCATTTCTTAATACTAAGTCTTTAAAAATTATATATTTTTCATTTATTCATAGTTATCTTTCTTATTGCAATATTGCATGGGGAAGTACTAATTATGGGAAACTTAAAAAAATCTATAGCAAACAAAAACATGCATGTAGGATTATATTTGGCGTTAACAGAACTGTTAATGGTGAATCTCTTCTAAGCGAACTTAATGCACTTAATGTTTATAAAATTAATATATACCAAGTTATGCTTCTAATGTTTAAATCAAAACATGGTTTGTCTCCTAATATATTTCACTTTTACTTCACTGAAATTACTCATAAATACCCCACAAAATTTTCAGTTGATATGTTTGTTATTCCAAGATCTTATTTAAAACTCAGCTCATTTCAAATTCAATACCGTGGACCATTTATATGGAAAAGTTTTTTGAAAAATATTATTAAAAATAAAACTCTTCTAAACTTCTCCCTAGAACAATTCAAAAAAGAATCTAAACGTTTTCTATTATGAAAAAACTTCGATTTTAAAAATTTCTTTTAAAAATAGTACCTAAAATAATTAAACTGTCTTGATTTATTTCTTATCTATAAAATATATATATATATATATATATATATATATATATATATATATATATATATATATATATATATATATATATATATATATATCTAAAAAAAAATGTTTATTTATATATCTTATTATACGATTTACTACTTGTAATATATTGTGTTGTATTTTGTAATTTTTAACTTGTTACATAAACTGAAGGCAACAATGTAAACGGGGCTTGGCGATAAGACAAAATACGTCTTCTTCTTGCTCCGGCCATATATTATATATGTACGATCTTTCTTATTGTAAATTTTATCAAACGGCGAAGAAAAAAAAAAAAAAAAAAAAAAAAAAAAATTAAATCGTAAATTAAATCGTAAATCGGAATTACGTAAATCAAAAAATCGTTATGAAGCTAGCTAGTTCCCAGTGGGCATTTCGACGTCGAACGAACGTCGAGCGACGTCGGATCTTGACGTCGGATCGACGTTGGGTTTACGTTGGAAATGGAAATGTTATTTGACGTCGGATAAACTGACATCGCGCGACGTCGGCATTCCGATGTAAATCCAACGTGTTTTTTGAAAACTAAAGGACGTTGCCTTAGGCAGGAATCGAACCTCGGACTATCAGAAACTAAATCCTACGCGCTTACCACTACACCACAGGGACTTATTAAATAATGTGTTTATTTAGTAATTTATACTTGTAGCTATTTGGAAATTATTTCTTTGATAAGAAATAATTTTGTTTAAATATTATATAAATATTAAAACGAATAGTTATATATTATAAAAAATGTATACTCGAAAATGTTAGTAGTTAAAAAACTATGCTAGTGCATCATACAAAACCTCATGATGTTTTATCAACCATTATTCAAACTTCTTTCCATTAATAAAAAACACGCTAAGTTCACATATTTATTGAAGAGCGCAATTGCACACATATTGTTGAGTTTGGATTAAATTTTCATCAGCGATGTCTTACGACGTTGTTCCGACGTCGTTTTAAGGACGTTGGATTGACGTCGGAAGACGTCAAAAGACATCAGAGTACGTTTATATTATGACGTTGCCCGACGTCTTTTTATCGACGTTGGATCGATGTCAGTACTGCGACGTTTTTTGGACGTCTTTTATAAGATGTCGGAACAACGTCAAAATACATCGAAACGACGTCAGGGGATGTTGAGATAAAGACATCGCCCGACGTCATTTTACTGACATCGGAACAACGTCCGAATAGATCTTTTGACATCGCTGATGAAAATCGTACGTAAATCCGACGTCGGATTGACGTCGGGTGCCCACTGGGTTGCTAGCTCATTTCCCACCAAGAACATTCTGTAAAGCTGCATGAGATTATAGGTGATAAAAAAGATAAATCTTTTAGGTGAAATCAGCCTCAAGAAAAAGTATAAGTCATTATTTACCAGAAGAATATAAAAAAAAAAAATCTTAAAATGTTTACGGTTCTTCATCCATATCTAAAGATTTTTTATGAGTAAAAATTTCATATTGGTTAAGAGGACATATAAAGGTTTGCTATATTGTTTAGCAATAATTTTATATTATCCTTGAGCAGACGCGTTTTTTAAGTGTAACGAACCAAAAGTAACAAAATTTGTATACTTTTTTTAAAGATATTGCTCGATCGCAAAAAACCAACTTATTTCCATGTATTTGAGTCTTAGCAATAAATGTCCAATAATATTATATTTTTAAAATCTTTTTTACAAAGGGTTTTAAAGTGAAGGGGCGCATCCGTCAATTTCTAAAAAAAGTCCTCTGTATCTAGATTTAAAATCTAAAAAAAAGTCCTCTATATCTAAATTTCTTTAAAAAAACTCATTTGCAAAAAAGGTGGAAGAAGGGACCCACATTTCATTTATACATCTGCTTGGCTAATCAGGAGAAGCAGTAACGATGCCGATTTAAGTACTTTACTGCTAAACTACTGCAACCTGAAATAAAATATAAAATTTGGTGTGATTTTAAGATTCTACCAATTCTGTTTTATCTAGTCGGCATCTGTTAAAAAATTTAGGTCAGGTCAGATAAATGGAAAACTCTATAATGGTGGAAATATAAGCTATTCAAAAGCTGCTAAAAAATTTTGTTTTTAAAAAGTATGGTCAATTCTTTTTGGGCCGGGCAGTTTAACGTACGCAATAAAGTTTAATATAACTTTACAGCGTGTACAGAGGTTTGCACCTTTTGACATTTTCAAACGATCGAGACACCGCACGTTGTTCCTTAGACGGCTTGAAAATGTCAAAAAAAAAAAAAAAAGACTTTATTGTCTTTTTAAATTAAAAAATAAATTGTTGTGACTTTGAGGTAAAGTTTGCGAAAATGCAATGTACATCGCAAAATTGAAACTATTTAGGGGTAAAATTCCCAATATTTACTTCTTATGCAGCTGATGAAAATGAAATATAAAAGATAAACTTATAAATAAATAATAAAGATTTAAACAAAAAATTTTAATATATAATATACATAAAATAAAACACATTATCGCTTTGCGCTTTGTAGATTTTTAAACTTTAAGAAAGCTCAATTAAATTTCGTCTATAGATTTTCGTCTATAAAACTAAGTTTCGTCTATAAATCCATTATAAATTGGGTGCAATAATAACTTTATAAAAAAGTTTTGCTACTAACGAACATTATGTTTTGTAGAACGGTTCGTTAAAAACTTCATACACTTGTGTTCATTTGTTGGATGTGAAACAATAATGTTTTCTTTAAATTCGCACCACGTGTTAGACATATAAAAGCCAACGACATGTGTCGCTGAAATTCCTAAAAATAATTTTATTCTGATCAACTTGCAAAAAAAATTAGTGAATAAATAAAAGATCGATTATATATATATATATATATATATATATATATATATATATATATATATATATATATATATATATATATATATATATATATATATATATATATATATATATATATATATATATATATATATATATATTATATATATATATATATATATATACATATATATATATATATATATATATATAATATATATATATATATATATATATATATATATATATATAGTATATATATATATATATATATATATATATATATATATATATATATATATATATATATATATATATATATATATATATATATATATATACTATATATATATATATATATATATATATATATATATATATATATATATATATATATATATATATATATATATATACTATATATATATATATATATATATATATATAATATATATATATATATATATATATATATATATATATATATATATATATATATATATATATATATATATATAATATATATATTATATATATATATATATATAATATATATATATATATATATATATATATATATATATATATATATATATATATATATATATATATATATATATATATATATATATATATAATATATATATATATATATATATATATATATATATATATATATATATATATATATATATATATATATATATATATATATATTATATATATATATATATATATATATATATATACATATATATATATATATATACTATATATATATATATATATATATATATATATATATATATATATATATATATATATATATATATATATATATATGTATATATATATACATATATATATATATATATATATATATATATATATATATATACTATATATATATATATATATATATATATATATATATATATATATATATATATATTTATATATATATATATATATATACATATATATATATATATATATATATATATATATATATATATATATATATATATATATATATATATATAAGTATATATATATATATATATATATATATATATATGTATATATGTATATATATATATACATATATATATATATATATACGTATATATATATATATATATATATATATATATATATATATATATATATATATATATAAACACATATATTTATACGTGTATATTTGCAAATACTTAGTAAATACATTTGTTTTACTTAAATGCATAATTTTGTTTAAACAAGAACAAACTCAATAGATAAACTAGAGCTATTTAGTATACATGTTAACAGCAGTACCAGTGCTGCGGGCAACAACAATATATATATGTATATATATATATATATATAAACACAATATTTATACGTGTATATATGCAAATACTTAGTAAATACATTTGTTTTACATTAAATGCATAATTTTGTTTAAACAAGAATAAACTCAATAGATAAACTAGAGCTATTTAGTATACATGTTAACAGCAGTACCAGTGCTGCGGGCAACAACAATATATATATATATACATATATATATATATATATATATATATATATATATATATATATATATATATATATATATATATATATATATATATATATATATATATATATATATATATATATATATATATATACATATATATATATATATATATATATATATATATATATATATATATATATATATATATATATATATATATATATATATATATATATATATATATATATATATATATATATATATATATATATATATATATATATATATATATATATATATATATATATATATATATATATATATTATACTATTTATTAGGGTTGAAAATTTCCAAAAAATTTTGCTCAATTTTCAAAAAAATTTTATAGCAATAAACTTATATAGCTTTATAAAATTTCTTTGTTTCAAAAAGTACGTTATATATTAAAACTATCTTAAAGTAAAGCATAATTTATTGATTTATAAAGTTAAAGGTGCTCTCGCAAGGTTGTGGCGAGTGAGACTTAAGTCTTAAAAGCATTTATTTAAACATAGCGATGGAATTTATGACCTCAACATCATTATTTCTTTATTTTAATTGCAAACTATATTTTTAAATAGTTCAAATTTAGCAAAAAAAAAAAATTCTTTACTTTTTGCCTTTAATTGATCAAAAACGTCGTTAAATCAAGAAAAAGTTATAAAAGACTGTAAATATTCAATCAATTCTTTTTATATATAATTTTACAATTTTCAGTAACATTTTGGCCAATTTAAAAATGCCCCTTCTCCTTTAGGGATGGGGGTGCAAACTATGTTTAGCCTTAAACAAAGCTTGATACGGCAATAAACGCGAATCTGCTTAGCAAATAAAACAAATTATCATAGTTGCTACATGTAGTTGTAATAACAAAAACTCAACAAAATACCATAAAAAGTGTTTTTTAAAGGGATCTTTCTAAAAAATTTAAATTCTGCTTCACAATATTTTGCTATAAAATGTCCATAACAACTGCCTAAGTACGACATAAAATTTTACCCATTAATTATAAAATAACTTATCTTATTTTAAAAGTTCTAAAAATTTCAAAAATTTACTGAAAATTATATAAATATATATATATATATATATATATATATATATATATATATATATATATATATATATATATATATATATATATATATATATATATATATATATATATATATATATATATATATATATATATATATATATATCGACTCCCACCACGTCCCTGGAAGTACCGCGCTCAACTTAATTTCTCCGCGCAGCGGCCTTGCTTGTCAAGGTTCGTGTTTCGGAGTTAAAGAGTTGAGAGAGGGTTGTACCACGATTT